TGACTACAGGAAGCCCCTGCCCCGGGTTTCCTGGAATCAGCCGCTGATCAGTTTCAGCAGCGACTGAATCTGGACGCCAGTTCCAACTTACATACAGATTCAACTCAGCCGCTGCTGAAACTGACCAGTGGCTGACTACAGGAAGCCCCTGCCCCGGGTTTCCTGGAATCAGCCGCTGATCAGTTTCAGCAGCGACTGAATCTGGACGCCAGTTCCAACTTACATACAGATTCAACTTAAGAATAAACCTATAGTCCCTATCTTGTACGTAACCTGGGGACTGCCTGTACTGTTTCTCCCTCCTCACTGACCAGTGGGCCTACCCTCTCCTTGGTCTTCCTCTTGCTTCTAATGTATTTATAAAAAGTCTTCTTGTTTCCCTTTATTCCCATAGCTAGTTTGATCTCATTTTGTGCCTTTGCCTTTCTAATCTTGTCCCTGCATTCCTGAATTGTTTGCCTATATTCATCCTTTGTAATTTGTCCTATTTTCCATTTTTTACAGGACTCCTTTTTTATTTTTAGATCATGCAAGATCTTGTGGTTAAGCCAAGGCGGTCTTTTGCCATATTTTCTATCTTTTCGACACAGCAGAAAAGCATGCTTTTGGGCACTTAATAATGTCCCTTTGAAAAACTGCCAACTCTCCTCAGTTGTTTTTCCCCTCAGTCTTGATTCCCATGGGACCTTACCTATCAGCTCTCTGAGCTTACCAATATCCGCCTTCCCGAAATCCATTGTTGCTATTTTGCTGTTCCCCTTTCTACCCTCCCTTAGAATTGTGAACTTTGAGATACATTGGTTTTTCATTTCTCTGCAAAAGCAAATTCCATCTCCCAAACAGGGTTCAAAACCTTGTGTTCATCCAACAAGAGTCTGTTGTCATTTTTAATGCTTATTTAAAAAAAATTGTAGACTAGTGTTTTAGGTGTTTAGCTTGAAGCTTCAGGTTATGAGTTTCTTAGAGTGATTTTACCCTAAAAAGAAAAGTTTCCAAGTCAGAGCACTCCAACCTGCAGGCGGCAGACCTAGGGGAGTCAAACTAAACACAAGAGACAAAAAAGGACGGGTGCCCAGGATCCCTGTCCTGAATTCCCAGCAGGGCTGATGTCTCCATGCGGGAGTCCATCACTCCATGTGGGATAGAGGCAGGGCTGCCCAGCCACAACAACGAACGTGGTCAGCGAGAGCCAGTCAGCGCACCTCAGGTTCTGCTCACAAGGCTAAGCAGCCAGAACTTCCCACAATGCCCTGGTGCTCCTGGCACCTCCTCTCTAGGAGCTAGAAATGCCAACACCCTGTACCCATCTGTTCCAGCCAGCCCATCCACTGGCATCTTTCAATGCTCACCCCGCCTGGGAGATGCCTTGCCGTTGTGGAGCATGTTCCCAGTGGAGGCCATGTTCAAAGGATCCCACCTGCGGGCTGCATGTTGATCCCCACAAACCCAAACCACACCTGATCTAGGTGGTGCTTGGTCCTACCAGGAGGGCAGGGGCCTGGACTTGATCATCTCAAGTTCCCCTCCAGTTCTAGCATACTATGATCCTGTGGTAACTCGACATAAGATACATAGACTCCAGCTACATTATTCACATAGCCAGAGTTGCATATTTTAAAGTCAACTTTCTGCTGCAGTGTAGATGTAGTCTTCCAGTGTGTATCCCTAGAATATTTTATTTTCACAGCAACAAATAATTGGATCAAACTCAATTTAACATTTTAGTCAATTAACTAGATATATGATTTAAATGCCACAAACCGCACTTACCCTGCCTCAAAGCAACTACTTTTTATTGCAGCTTCTAACTTCTCTTCTCAGTGAAGCTATGCCCTGTGGAACTGCAGAGGCGGAAGACTTTGAAACTGGCTTATAAGCAATGTGCTGCCTCTTACTACCATACAACACAGCCTCATATAATAAGCACAAAGAAATTGTTACCTGGTCAAATCTTGTGGCAAAGAGATTGAGAGATGTCACTATTCCACCATTAGGGCCCAAACCATATCTGGACACACAGCTCAGGAAAGCAGGTTATAGAAATGTACTAGTTAGTGACAAGTAAAAGACAAAGCCTCTGCCCTGGAGAGTTTATAATCTAGTTTCCTAGATGATGCAACCAAATAAATAATAGGAAAGGACAGAGTTTCCCCTCAGATTGCAAAGAATTTTACATGGTAATCCCCATAATGAGAAACAGAGAGGTGAAGTGACTTGCCCAAATCCATCCAGCAGGCCAGAGGTAGGAATAGTCCCAGTCCAGTGCTCTCTTCACTGGGTTATGTTTCCTAACCATTCTTCTGTCCACTTTGTTACAATGGAGCAGGGATAATGACCACGCTTAGAAATGTTTTAAGTATGTAGCTGCTAACAGTGGCAGAGAAATTTTGTATTTGGTCTATGTCCCAATATCTTGACAGATTTGTTACATGACTGTTACAACATGCATCTGACAAAGTGGGTCTTTGCCCATGAAAGCTTATGCTCCAATAAATCTGTTAGTCTATAAGGTGCCACAGGACTCCTTGTTGCTTTTGCAGATTTGACATGATTTATAGACCTCAAATTATATCCCCTTAGTTGCATCTTTCCCAGGCTGAGAAGTTCAGGTCTTATATTAAGCTCATCTCATATGGAAGCTGTTCCCTGCCACTAATCGTTTTGTTGACCTTTTCTAATTGCCAGGGCTCGACAAATCACGTAATCTACTCACCCATGGTGAGTAGACTACAAGCTGGCACAGCTGGCGCCACGCAATCTGCACATACGCAGCTTGCAGAACTGCGCAGCTGGCGAGTGGGGCTCGCCGCCGCTTGGCAAGCCCTGTTAATTGAAATATGATAATTTCTGGCTTATCAGTCATTCCTAATGGTTTCTTGGATTCTGTTAGCTTTGACTACCACTGCATAATGAGTGTTTTCAGAGAACAATCCACAATGCCTCCAAGATCTTTGAGTGGTAAAAACTAATTTAAATTCCATCATTTTATATGTATAGTTGGGATGTTTTCCAATGTACGTTACTTTGTATTTATCAACATGAATTTTATCTATCATTTGGTTGCCCAGTCACCAGTTTTCCCTCTGTAGCTCTTTGCAGCCTGCTTTGGACTTAGCTCTCGAGTAGTTTTGTATCATTTTGATCTTTTGTTCCCTTGATTACTTTTGATCAGCCTCCCGCTGTGTGGCTAACAAGGGAGTAGGCCTGACCTAGGTCAGTGGGCTTTAGAAGCCAGAGGCAGAGCGACCAGGACAGCAAAGTGGACAGCAGACTACAGACAGGGGAGTTTGAGAGGGAATCCTAATATGGTTAGGAAGACCTGCAAAACCTGTGCCAGCGCTGTTTGTCTCCTCCACCTGAGTCTATAGCAAGACAGACCACGTGACCATGGTATGGTTTTTTCAGGGACTGTGGCTTGCAATTCCCACTTACTGGGAATTGCAAGCTGGGGAGACCATCCAATGTGAAAGATGCTGGCTTGTGGAATCTCTCAGGAAGCAGGTGGGACAGCTACAGAAGGAGGTAGCTAGGCTGAAGTGCATTTGACTGAGGAATTCCAGGATAGTATTCATGTAGAGACTGCTAAGGAAGCTATCCCATCACAAAAGGCTGCTTACACACCACTGGTGGAGGAGGAGATGGCTTAGTTGTGGGGGCACTACAGGCAGCTGTCATTTCTGGCAGTGGGCAGTGCTACACCACTGCTCCCAACCCTCCCTCCGTAGTTCTGTAGGCCCATTATGCTGTTCTGGATACAGGAGATAAGGAATTACCCCCTAAAGCAGAAGAGAAGCCTTGTACCCCCAAGGCTGGAAGGTCTGCAGCCACCACTGCAAGGAGGAAACGTAGGGTAGTGGTAGTCAGAGATTCTCTTCTGAGGAGGACAGAGACATGCATCTGCCACCTTAACGTGTCATCTCGGGAAGTATGGTGCCTGCCAGGGGTCCATATCCAAAACATTACGGAGGCATTGTTGAGAATTATCCAGCCTTCTACCCCATGCTACTCATCCATGTGGCACAAGTGATACTGCAAGGTATGACCTTGAACAGAACAAGAGTGACAACAGGGCTCTAGGTGTACAGCTGATAAGAGTTTGGAGAGTAGGTGGTTCTCTCTTCAATCCTTCTTGTCAAAGGTAGGGTCCCAGGCAGAGATAAGTGCATCCTGGAGGTGAACGCCTGGCTGCAAAGATGGTGTTGCCAAGAGAGTTTTGGTTTCCTTGACCATGGGATGCTGTTCCAAGAAGGACTGCCAAACAGAGATGGGGTTCACCTTTTAAGGAAGAGGAAGACAGTATTTGGACACAGACTGGATAACCTAGTGAGGAGGGCTTTAAACTAGGTTCAATGGGGGCAGGTGACCAAAGCCCACAAGTAAGTGAAAAACATGGAGACCTGGGAGATGGGTCAGAAATAGGAGGGACCATGGGCTATAATAGCCGAGATAAAGGAGGGACAAGGCAGAACTTGGAAGGAAAAAAAAAAATCAAATCAGTATCTTAGATGCCTTTATACAAATGCAAGAAGTATAGGTAATAAGCAGGAAGAACACTATGTCCTAATAAATAAACACAACTATGACATAGTTGATATCACAGAGACTTGGTGGGATAATACACACGACTGGAATATTGGTATACCAGAGTACAGCTTGCATAGGGAAGAGGCAGGGAAAAAAGATGGTGTTGCCTCGTATATTAAAAGTGTACACACTTGGACTGAGGTGGAAATGGACATAAAAGACAGATGTGGAAAGTCTCTGGGTTAGGTTAAAAAGGAGTAAAAAATAAGGGTGATGTCATGCTAAGGATCCACTACAGCCCACCTACCCAGGCAGAAGAGGTAGATGAGGCTTTTTTTAAACAACTCACAAAAGCATCCAAAGCACAGGACTTGGTAGTGATAGGTGACTTAACTATCCAGATACATATTGGGAAACTAACACAGCAGAGCACAGATGATGCACTAACAAAAGCATTGGAGGCAAGAAATGAGAAGTCATTCTTCCGCACTACTCTGCTGAATAGGCCTTCATTAGAGTATTCTGCCCTGTTCTGGACACCACATTTCAAGAAAGATGTGGAAAAATTGGAGAAAGTGCAGAGAAGAGTAATCAAAATGATTAAGGTATAGAAAACATGAGCTATGAGGGAAGACTGAAAGAATTGGGCTTGTTTAGTTTAGAAAAAAGATGACAGAGGGCACATGATAAGAGTTTAAGTACAGGCAGTCCCCGGGTTACGTACAAGATAGGGACTGTAGGTTTGTTCTTAAGTTGAATCTGTATGTAAGTAGGAACTGGCGTCCAGATTCAGCCGCTGCTGAAACTGACCAGCGCTGACTGCAGGAAGCCTGAGGCAGAGTTGCTCTGCCCCCGGCTTCCTGGAATCAGCTGCTGATCAGTTTCAGCAGCAGCTGACTTGGGGACGCCTGGGGGTCTTAAGTTGATTCTGTATGTAAGTCAGAACTGGCGGTCAGTTTCAGCAGCGGCTGAATCAGGACGCCTGGGGCAGAGCAGCTGGGGTGCTGCCGGGTTGGTCCAGTAGTGCCCAGAGCGGCGCTGCAGGCCAACCAGCAGCGCCCCAGCTGCTCTGCCCCAGGCGTCCTGATTCAGCCGCTGCTGAAACTGACCAGCGCTGACTGCAGGAAGCCTGAGGCAGAGTTGCTCTGCCCCCGGCTTCCTGGAATCAGCTGCTGATCAGTTTCAGCAGCAGCTGACTTGGGGACGCCTGGGGGTCTTAAGTTGATTCTGTATGTAAGTCAGAACTGGCGGTCAGTTTCAGCAGCGGCTGAATCAGGACGCCTGGGGCAGAGCAGCTGGGGTGCTGCCGGGTTGGTCCAGTAGTGCCCAGAGCGGCGCTGCAGGACCAACCGGCAGCGCGCCAGCTGCTCTGCCACAGGCGTCTGGAGAAAAGCCTAGTCTGCTGGGAGGGGGGGGGGGGACTAGCTGCGCCCCCCCCACGCCCCAGCAGACCAGGAAGACGCGGGCGGCAGACCGAGACGCACCACGGTCCCGCCACCTGGGTCCTCCACGGCTTTGCTCCCCGTCTCTCTGGTCTGCCAGGGAGACGGGGAGCAAAGCCTCTGAGGACGCCAGCAGCAGGACAGCCGCGGGGCGTCTGGACTGCCTCAGCCCCCCCGCGGCTTTGCAAAGCCTCGGGGAAGCCGGCAGCGAGGCAGCCCAGGCATGCCTGGGCTGCCTCGCTGCCCGAGCCCCCCTGCGGCTTTGCTCCGCATCTTCCTGGTCTGCAGACCAGGGAGACGCGGAGAAAGCCCCGGAGTACACGGGCGGCAGGACCGCGAGGTCCTGCAGTCCGTGTCCTCCAGGGCAGCCCCGTTCGTAACTGTGGATCCGACATAAGTCGGATCCGCATAAGTCAGGGACTGCCTGTATCTAAAAGGGTGTTACAAGGAAGAGGGAGAAAAATTGTTCTCCTTGGCCTCTGAGGTTAGGACAAGAAGTGATGCAATTTAAGCTCATTAAGGGAGATTTAGGTTGGACATTAGGAAAAGCTTCCTGTCAGGTGGTAAAACACTGAAATAAATTGTGTAGGAAGATTGTGAAATCTCCCGCAAAGGAGGTATTTAAGAGCAGATTAGACAGACACCTGTCAGGACTGATCTAGAAAGTGCTTGGTCCTGCTGTGAGGGCAGGGGACTGGACTCAATTACCTCGAGGACCCTTCCAGTTCTATGATTTGCAAATTTTGCGCACACACTTTTTATTCTCCCCCGCCCCGCCCCCTCCCCCCAAATCCCAGAACTGACCCTGGAGACCACCACTATTTTCCCCTCTCCACTCCTAAAACTGACCATTTATTCCTACCCTTTGTTTCCTATCTTTTAAGCAATTATGAATTCATGAGAGGACCTCTTATAGCACGACAGATTACATTTACTTAAGCGTCTTTGGTGAGGGACCTTGTCAAAGGCTTTCTGAAAATGTAAGTACACAATATTTTCTGCATCATCCTTTTCCACATGCTTGATGAAAGAATAGTAGATTGGTGTTAAATGATTTCCCCTTATATGAACCATACAGAACTGGCCCCAACAACTTTTGTTGATCTCTGTCTGACAATTGTATTCTTTACTATATTTCAGCCTGTTTGCCCAGAAATGAAGTCATGCTTACCAGCCCTTTTTTAAAAAAAACCTGGTATCATAGAGTTAACCTCCAATCAACTGGTACAGAAGCTAATTTAATTAAATATGTTACAAACTACAGCTAGTAGCTCTGCAATTTCACATTTGAGTTTCTTCAGAACTCAAAGTGAACACCTAATGCTTACATTCTGCAAAAACTGCTTTGTCTCCCTCACTATGAACAATTAGGAGGGTTTTGGGGAAAAGGGGGGAATTACAAAAACAGAATTGGATTTGCAGATATATCTGAGAAAGTTGATGGGTGACATACCAAAGAAGCAAATCTATACCCTCTCAAAAGCAATGGGACAGAAGCAATTAACTGGACACAAAAATCACTGGCACAAAGAGCAACTCTTCATTCTCCAAAACTGCAACTGTAGATCAAAGGGCACATTACTACAGGAAGGAAACATATGTCCTACATGGAATGCAGGCCTTTTTACATAGACTCATTCTAATGTCAAATCCCAGAAGCAGCCAACAAGCAGATCAAGGCCCTTGCTTCCCAACCAACCCCAGTCCACCATATCCTGGCTTAAATTCTAACTCTCTGGCTACATTTAGGGTGCATTTAGACTGGCATGATTTTACGCAAAAGCAAGTGCTTTTGCGCAAAATCTTGCTGCGAGTATTTGCGCAAGAACACTGACTTTGTAATGTACAAAATCAGTAGTTCTTATGCAAATACTCTGACGCTCCCGCTCAGGGATAAGCCCTCTTGCACAAGAGGGCCAGTGTAGACAGCAATGTTAATTTCTTGCGCAAGAAAGCCCGATGGCTAAAATGGCCACTGGAGCTTTCTTGCGCAAGACAGCATCTACACTGGCACGGATGCTTTTGAGCAAAATCAGATCTTTTGCTCAAAGGCACATGCCAGTATAGATGCTCTCTTGGGCAAATACTTTTAACGGAAAAACTTTTCCGTTAAAAGTATTTGCGCAAAATCATGCCAGTCTAGACGCAGCCTTGAAGTATGCACAACCCCAATCCACAGCTCTGTTTTCTTCAGTGTACAGAGATGACAGTTCATGTCTGTAGGAGTTGAGTATGCACAGGTAATATTAAGCCATGGAAAGGATACTGTTTCATAACTTCTTTGTACTTCACGGTGTCTCTGATATCTAGAAAAGAAAAAAGGAATAAACTGAATAAGTTATAGTTTTAGAATTAGAAGAGGAACACAGTTCCTCAGGTCTAAGCATTCACCCTCCCTGCCTCAAAATGAAGGAAGCCAGTATACGTGAGACTAGTTTCACAGTGGACTTTAATGCTTCAGCAACACTAGCCGTATGTTCCAACTGCACCACATTTGAAAAGCAACAAATCAATACGAGACCACCAAAAGTTTACATGTTTGCCAGTCACCATTTGGACTACATGTGTTGTCAGAAGAGCTACATCCAGATACAATGGTGAACAAAATATCTGCATTTACCTGAACAGTGAGGGGATCCACCATAATGCATATTTCTCTACTGTACTGTTTGCTTGTAATCCTGTGAACTCACCTTTCATCTTGCACTGCAGACCTTTCACTACAATCACTCCCTGGCTGTGTCTAGACTGCATCCCTTTTTCGTAAAAGGGATGCAAATTAGACATATCGTAATTGCAAATGAAGCGGGGATTTAAATCCCCCCCATAAAAATGGCTGCCGCTTTTTTCGATTCGGAGCTTTGCCGGAAAAAAGTGCCAATCTAGACGCAGATCTTTCAGAAAATAAAACCTTTTCCGAAAGATCCCTTATCCCTCATTTTAAGGGATCAAGAGGGCCATTTCAAGATGGATAAGGGATCTTTCAGAAAAGGCTTTATTTTCCCGAAAGATCCACGTCTAGACTGGCGCTTTTTCCAGCAAAACTCCGTGCCGGAAAAAAGCGGCAGCCATTTTTATGCTAATGAAGCAGGCAGGGTTTAAATCCCTGCTTCATTTGCAATTGCGATATGTCTAATTTGCATCCCTTTTACGAAAAAGGGATGCAGTCTAGACACAGCCCCTTTGTCCACTGTGTTCACTCATTTTCTAAACTTCCTTTTCATTTTTCAACCACCCCTCAGCTCCCTCCCCCCAGGTCCTCTCATGTTCACATTCTTTTCATACCGCAAGATCATTCCTTTCTCCCCATCATTAGTTTCCCCCACTTAACTGGACTGGACACGACCTCCTGAGGTCTCTTCCAGCCCTATGATTCTAACTAGACTAAAATGAAAATTCCTATATTTCTGTCATCCATACCTGCCGGTGGTCAATGCCAAATACATTACAGAAAGCTTCATGAAACCCTATAGATGACACTTATGGAATATACACCTGGGGAAGTTTCTTCCCTATTCTTCCCCTCCCCTCTGCCTTCCAGTTTGCAAGGCTGGAGTCTGCTGCGATCAGGCCCCAGAAGTCCCTGCAGCCTGGGCTCCAGACCATGTGCCGGACCTGGAGCTGGGCCGCTCAGTGTTCATAGCCCCGGCCCATCACAAAACGACCGCCCCACCAGGTGCGCTCACCGCCGTCCCTCCTCTAGCCAGGCTCTGCTCCCCCACGTCCCACTCGGCACATCTCCTTCCTCCTCCTTCCCCGATCCATAGCTGGCAGTTTTAAAAAATGGTGCCGCAACGCCACACCGACGTGACTTCACCCCCGGTGCAGCCCTGGCTCCACCTGGGTTGACGGCGCATGCTCGCGCCTCTTGCAGCCATGCCCGCTTTCCCTTCCCCCGGCCTGGTACCTTCCCCAGTCGGGGTCAGCTTGCCGGCCTCCTTGTCAGAGTCCCTCAGCCCGGTGGGGTCTTCTGGCGGGGCTGTGCCAGCAGGGCTCTGGTGCAGGAATGTGGAGCCCTGTGGCTCTGTCCCGCCAGGCCAGTCCACCCCTGCATTAGGGTGTGCCTAATGCAGACTAGGCGGGCGCATATAAATGCCCCGGCGGGTGCCATGGCATCCACGGGCACCACGTTGGGGACCACGGGTCTAGACAGTAGCAGCCTGGAGCCTCCAGGCCAGGGTGGAGGAACTGAGGCACAACCCTCCGGGGCCATAACCACCAGCCCTGCAGCGGAGTTCCAGATGGAGCTGCCCAGGGATCCCTCTTTAGAGAAGCTGAGTGCCCTGGCCGGCCAGGGCGGTGCCGGGTCCCTGTGGGAGAAGGGATTCCTTTACTGGGAATGGACCAGCCTAGGACAAACTGAATCCTGCGAGGTGAGGAGGTAGCTGGTGGTGCCTCAGAGGTACCATCGCAGACTCCTCACCTGCACCAGGGTGGTTTTCCCGGAGCCCGGTGGCTCTGTCCCACCGGGCCAGTCCACCCCTGCATTAGGGTGTGCCTAATGCAGACTAGGCGGGCGCACATAAATGCCCCTGCAGGCACCATGGCGCCCGCGGGCACCGCATTAGGGACACCAGAGCTAGGTAGATTCATGGAGGTTAGGTACATCAACAGCTATTAGCCAGTATGGGTAGGAACTGTGTCCCTAGCCTCTGTTTGTCCAGGAATGGGGGACAGAAGAGGGATCACCTGTTGTGTTCCCTCCCTCTGGGGCATCTGGTATTGGCCACTGTTGGCAGACAGGATACTGGGATAGATGTATCTTTGGTCTGACCCAGTATGGCCATTCTTATGTTAATGTCTATACTATATTTATCTCTCTTTGAACTGTACAGCAAATCTGCAAATGACAGGCAATTGTTTATGTTAATAGTTGTAGATAATTACCAATGATGCTTACAAAGTACATCTTCAGGACTTCTTGTTGTTCACCTAAAGACTCTGAACTGTGAAAAGAAGCCTGCGACTGCATAACAAACACTGGGTCTTGATCCTTTTTATTACAGATCTGCTTGATGCTTCATCAGGGAAAACTACTGAGATCTCCAGTCCCATTTGGATCACACTGAATAAGGACTTTGGACTATAACCTATGGACTGACTATAAGAACATTTTCCAACTACAAAGCTCACCATCTCTACTATGCATCTGATCTCAAAACTGTAATCATGTCTGTATGTATGGTGATCTCTTAACCATTAATCTCTCTATTCTTTTAAATATGTAATCATGTCTGTATGTATGGTGATCTCTTAACCATTACTTATTTAAAAGAATAGAGAGAGTATTAGTTTAATAAGAACTAGAGGATTTACCTGGCATTGCTTGGGTCCTTAACTCAATTTGGTTTTTTGAAAAATAAAATGAAAATGTAGACGTTTCATTTAAATTAATGCTCTGGGGTAGGGCCAGGGATGAGTGGTTCAGTATGCAGGATGGTTCTGGGAGAGAGGACTGCCTCCTGCAGCTTAGGGCCAGGTGAGAAGCACCGCTCCATGGACACTGCAGTTGCACCAGGCACAGCTAGGGGAGGGGTGCATATCCCCTGGCTGGGGCAGGTCTAGGTTTATCTGCCCCCTGGATACCCCAACCAGACTGAAGAAATCAGAAACTGTGCACTTTCCCCTTAATCTCTGATGAAGGATGGGAACAGTCAGAAGTGTCCCCAGATGATTCTAGTGGAGATGAAGGGAGAGCTTCAGACATGACAACCAAACCCTTACCTTGCTTTCAGTTATAAGAGGAAGCGATGCACCAAATTTGGTGGCCCTAGCTCTTATTGTTAAAAAGTTCTTGGACAGACAGACAAACTTTGAAATATATAATAGATAAGCTGTAAGCACGTATCTGGATAAGATCTGAATTACTCATTGACCTGGCAGGTAATGTGCCCCATCTTATAGGGCTGGCAAAACTTTATTTGACTTGGGTGTCTAGATTGATGCCAAAAGCTAAGTTAAAGGAGTTGTGTTTCATCTTTGGGGTAAGCAGTAAGGAATTATAGAAGCTCTTTTGTGCTGGCTTGGTGAATCTAAGTACTGAAATAAGTGCTAGTTTTGGGGAGTGGTTCTGCATTCTTTATAGTCCACTCTGAGACACCTCAGTTAGCTTCTCTGACCTCTGGTCAGTTATATCATTTCTCAAATTAGACTGCAAGCTTTTCAGGAGCTCTTTACCTGAGCATTTGCACCATGACCAGAAAAATGGGCTCCAACCCTAATTAAAGTTTCTGGTTGCTAATGCAATGCAATAAATAAATAAAATCAATTTCTCCCTAATTATACCCCCTTAATCTATCCTAAATAAACCCTCACATTAGCATTCAGACTCCTCAAATATGAGAACACCCCAACCATGGCTATCCTTACCATTTGTGGGGCTCTACGCAGCCAGAGCACCCACTGGGGAAGGGGGGGAGGGTGGCGCCCTCTGCAGTGGGGTGACTATGCTCAGGGCTGTGGTGGGGAGGAGGAAGAAGAGGAGTTGTGGGGGACAGGAACAAGGGAGAGGTTAGTGGGGGAACAGGAAGGGGGACAGGTGGAGCCATCCCAGCAACTACTCTGTGCTAGGCCCCAAACATCATAGAGATGCAGAAACACAGGCCCCAGGGCAACCCAGAGGATAAGGGGGGGGGGCGCGGAAGAGAGAGGGGCTGGTGCTGACAATAGGGGTCAGGCCTACTCCCACACTCACTGATGGAAAGCAGTGGTGCAACAGGGCCTCACCTCATTCTATTTTGCAGGCTCCCACTGCAGCACTGCACTCAAGAGTATGGGGGAGGGGCACTGGGGAAAGGAATAGGGGGATGGAGGGTGCAAGCAGGGTGCAAGAGCCTGGAACTTGGGGGAGGGGTATTGTCCCAACATCCCAGGAATGGTGTTTTTTCTATAAGGCTCAGACTTCCTCACCTCTATTTACATAAGAACATAAGAACGGCTATACTGGGTCAGACCAAATGTCCATCTAGCCCAGTATCCTGTCTGCCGACAGTGGCCAGCACCAGGTGCCCCAGAGAGGGTGGACTGAAGACAATGATCAAGCGATTTGTTTCCTGCCATCCCTCTCCAGCCTCTGACAAACAGAGGCCAAGGACACCATTTTATCCCCTGGCTAATAGCCTTTTATGGACCTAACCTCCATGAATTTATCCAGCTTCTCTTTAAACTCTATTATAGTCCTAGCCTTCACAGCCTCCTCTGGCAAGGAGTTCCACAGGTTGACTACACGCTGTGTGAAGAAGAACTTTCTTTTATTAGTTTTAAACCTGCTACCCATTAATTTCATTTGGTGTCCTCTAGTTCTTCTATTATGGGAACTAATAAATAACTTTTCTTTATCAGCCCTCTCCACACCACTCATGATTTTATAGACCTCTATCATATCCCCCCTCAGTCTCCTCTTTTCTAAACTGAAAAGTCCCAGTCGCTTTAACCTCTCCTCATATGGGACCCGTTCCAAACCCCTAATCATTTTAGTTGCCCTTTTCTGAACCCTTTCCAAGGCCAAAATATCTTTTTTGAGGTGAGGAGACCACATCTGTACACAGTATTCAAGATGTAGGCGTACCTTAGTTTTATACAGGGGCAGTAAGATATTCTGGGTCTTATTTTCTATCCCTTTCCTAATAATTCCTAGCAACCTATTTGCCTTTTTGACCACCGCTGTACACTGTGTGGAAGTTTTCAGAGAACTGTCCACGATAACTCCAAGATCTCTTTCCTGATTTGTTGTAGCCAAATTAGCCCCCATCATACTGTACGTATAGTTGGGGTTATTTTTCCCGATGTGCATTACTTTGCATTTATCCACATTAAATTTCATTTGCCATTTTGTTGCCCAGTCACTCAGTTTGGTGAGATCTTCTTGGAGTCCCTCACAGTCTGCTTCTGTCTTGACTATCCTAAACAGTTTGGTATCATCTGCAAACTTTACTACCTCACTGCTTACCCCTTTCTCCAGATCATTATGAATATGTTGAAAAGGATTGGTCCCAGGACTGACCCTTGGGGTACACCACTAGTTACCCCTCTCCAATCTGAAAATTTACCATTTATTCCTACCCTTTGTTTCCTGTCTTTTAACCAGTTCTCAATCCAAGAAAGGACCTTCCCTCTTATCCCATGGCCATGTAATTTACACAAGAGCCTTTGGTGAGGGACCTTGTCAAAGGCTTTCTGAAAATCTAAGTATACTATATTTACTGGATCCCCCTTTTCCGCATGTTTGTTAACTCCTTCAAAGAACTCTAATAGATTAGTAAGACATGATTTCCCTTTACAGAAACCATGTTGACTTTTGTCCAACAAATTATGTTCTTCTACATGCTTCACAATTTTATTCTTTACTATTGTTTCGACTAATTTGCCCGGTACTGAAGTTAGACTTACCGGTCTGTAATTGCCAGGATGGCCTCTAGAGCCCTTTTTAAATATTGGTGTCACGTTGGCTACCTTCCAGTCATTAGGTACGGAAGACGGTTTAAAGGATAGGTTACAAACGACAGATAAATGGGAAATTGCTGAGCTATTGAGTTCTTTTAGGACCCTTGAATGAATGCCGTCCGGTCCCGGAGATTTGTTAACAAAGTTTTTCTATCTGTTCCAAAACCTCCTCTAACAACACTTCAATCCGGGACAGCTCCTCAGATTCATTACCCACAAAGGACGGTGCAGATTCGGGAATCTCCCCAACCTCAGCCATGAAGACTGAAGCAAAGAAATCATTTAGTTTCTCCACAATGGCTTTACTTTACAACCTGTGGTGGGCCAAAAGATGGGCCACCAGAGCTAGTGCTGCCTGTAGCTGCCTAACGTCCCATCCCTATGCATAACACAGTGCACCACTAAACTTAGGGCATCCCTATGGTGCCCTGCACAGCTGTGCACGCCTGGGCGCGGCGTCCGGCTCTGAACGAAGACGCACAGACACCGCAGAGCGCTGAGAAGACAGCGAACTGCACGTGAGGAAAAGCGCGAGACCCGCCCGAGGGCGGAGCGAGCGACTCACCGATGTTGGCAGGAAACGGAAGCTCGTGCACCGCAGGGTCCAGGTTGATGACGTAGGGCGGGCGCCCCTGGCTGTGCAGATGGGCGGTGAGCCTCTGCGGAGGAGAGGGCGATGTGACGTGAGTGACGTGACGTTAGTGACCCCCCCACACACACACTTTTCCCGTCCCCCCACCCCCGGAAAG